AAAAGAGGACTCCAAGGGAAGGAGGCTTATGGAAATAAATACCACCCACAGCTGGAAATCAGATAGAAAAAGAATTCAGAGCCAGGGCTGGCTCTCCTGGAAGAGGACACTGAGGAAATGGGGTAGCATGGACTCGAAGAGGAGTCCACAGAGAAGACAGCTCTGCAGGAGAGAGGGACAGCAGAAGCAAAACGCACTCACAGCGGATGCCAGTTACAAGGATGACGGCCGCAGAAACCCACAGAGAATCCCTGAGTTATTAAACCCACAGAGAATCCCTTAGTTATTAAATAATCCCTAGCAACCTCATGGAGATCTGTGCTGCTTTTAAGGGTGGAAATATAAGATAGCACAATATGAAAAGTAAAAGCATTAAAAGTCTTTAATCACAATTCTTACAACAGGCATTTTCCACTTCTGATAATAAACCAAATATTTTACCCACCATTCAAAATTCTAGGATCCTAGAAAGCCAATCTACGAATTAGAAACTCACAATTATCAATGCAGTTTACAGATTGAAAAATAATGAATTCCTATGACCTATCTCAAACTGAACTACACACTACACACACCTTCTTAACATTATTCTGTTACAAAACCTATACTTTATTCCTTGACTTCTTTCTTCCCCCTACCAGTATGGTATACTTGCCTTGGTTTTACCCCTTATCCAACCTATAACCCAACACCAAAAAGAGCCAGTAAGGTCCTGCCTCACACAACAAAGCCAGACTACTGAAGATGATGCATGCCAAGTATCCCAAGGACAGAGCATCTGCAGGATGCCCAGCCCGAGACAGGAAGCCACCACTCCAGAGAAACCACACCCTACACACTACACCCCATGCACAGGGTGGGCTGGCTCTGTCAATGCTAGAAAGCGGAGACACACCTCAGATAAAACTGCTGCTAAAAATCCCAGGCCTCAGTGTTAAAGGGTAGATTCTGTCACAAAATCTTGACTTAAAATAATGCCCTGGCTACTGCCTCTGACCATGGCCTGACCTGGGCAGCACCATCTTGTGGATCTCTTCCAACTTTTAGCTGTGACACTGGCCAACTACTGTGCCCCTATCCACCCCAGTCTCTGCTGCAACTCAGTTCTATTTCTAAAACTTCCTCCCATCTCAGGATCCAGTCCTGGTAAGAAGCTCCTGACTACTGTCTTGGCCCTGCTACCTGTCTTCAGCCTCAGCCTCAGATTCAGGAGGCTGAAGCTCGACTAGGACTGAAGTACAAGAGAGCTACTTTTAGTTAACAGAGCACATCTGAAGATAAGTCCAGAAAAGGAACAGGTTTGAGTTTATTCTAAAATGATAAATCATTTTATTCATGCCTTTCCAATAAAATACAAGGCTTTAAAAAAAAGTTTCAACTCTTTCCTTGTTGATAGTTACAATATTCAATACACCTTAGTTCCAACATAGCAAGAGAAAAATAAACCTTAGGGTTTGTTTTGATAGATATTGATCTGTATGTGCAGAAGTCTAACTTACATATAGATTTCAGATATGAAGAGGCATTTTAAAAATAAGAGATCACTTAGCAAATGTGACCACAATTATAAAATACTTATTTAATCTGAGTAAACCACTTGCAGAAAAGTAAAAGCAAGTCCATACTATTGCTAAAATAATGATAACTAATGATAAATCATTCGTATTTTTTAAAGTAAGTTCAGAAGGGAATCACCATTCTTAGCTCCAGTAAAATGACTAAAACATCTGAGCCCACTTAGTGAAGGGTGTGTAATTAAGAGAACCCCAGTGCTTTTCCACCACAGCACCTTAGTTACCTACCACCACCTCTGCAGTTAACCTAAGGGAGGTTAGCCTCACCAGCCCTACCAGAGTGAGATATGGCCTCTGATCCTTACCCAGATGGCAGGGAACTTGGAATGGAGTGTACATGCTACAAGTGTTTCTTTTTTTTTTTTTTTTTCGGTTTGCGGGCCTCTCACTGTTGTGGCCTCTCCCGTTGCAGAGCACAGGCTCCGGACACGCAGGCTCAGCGGCCATGGCTCACGGGCCCAGCCGCTCCGCGGCATGTGGGATCTTCCCAGACAGGGGCACAAACCCGCGTCCCCTGCATCGGCAGGCGGACTCTCAACCACTGCACCACCAGGGAAGCCCTACAAGTGTTTCTTTAACGACAGAATAAATTAGAAAAAAGGAAGCTAGAAAGACATTCCAACATATGACACTGTATTAGACTCACTATATTAGTATACCTTCTACCATTCTATTACTAAGATTAGCAGGAAGAACAAAGGCCCATTCCAGTGCATTTTCAACACATCATTCCTAAGCACAGGAAGATTCACAAAGAACAGCTGTAAGAAGTGAACCTCCCAGGTTATACCTCCCCCACTGAAAGCATGAGGAAGGGATGAGCTTGTCTCAGCACTTCTTAGAAATGTCATGCTGTTGTACTGCTATTATGACACAATGGTAGGGAAGAAAAGGGAAGTGGTTTATTGGTTCATTTCCCAAGAGGATTACTCTGGCTTTGGACTAAGTAATGAGAGGGGATGACCTAGGCAGTACAGCATAAGGAGAAGGTGAAAAGGGGAAGATGCTAGAAATAATTCACTGTATACTCTTCATGAATGATTCACTTTCAATAAGTCAGACACTGTAACATAATTCAGGCAATCATAATGCAAGAGAAGTTATATCCAGAATTATGAATTAAAAACTTACCACCTAGAAGGAAAATTTATTTTTTAAATGAATCCAGAGGAGGAAAAGAAGAGAAACACATTTTCACACAGTTAGTTTTTATGATAGCTAGTATACTTTCAACAGACTTGAAACAGCATGCACTGTATATAAGAATAAAAAAGTCTAATATACAAAACTTAAACAACAGACAATCCGAAGTACGTAGCACACATTTTTAAAAACAAACCTAAGAACTAATAATCAATAACAACATGATTTTGAAGGCGATACAGAGAGATTTACTTGCATTCATAATTTTCTCCCTCATATGTAATTCTGCCACTGTAGCCAGTTGTTATTATGTACGATTGGCATAAATCAAGATAATATTAAACTGTTCATTTATATAAACTGTCTCTTATATCCTAGTTGCCAAAAAGAAGTGCGACGCATCATTTAATCTCCTTTCAATTCCTCAAGTGTGGAAGACAAAAGCAAATCCAAGATCTGTGGTTCTGAACCTGTGTACAAGAGGCCCTGGGGTGCCCATGGCTTGTCTGGACATCAAGCATGCGGAGTTATCTGAATAAATAACAAACTTCACACCTTTACTTACTGCTATACTTCAAATTATTGTGATTAATAAGACACATGCTTATTTGAAAGTATTATTAAAGCAATATTAGCTTTTTAAAAAGCAATCCAGCTTTTAATAGAAATAAATCCCCACAAATCTAGCAACTTCCATAGAAGTACTATGACATCCCTAACCTTTAAATAAGAATCGAACTATTACTGGATTCTCTTTTTCATTACTATACATTTTCTCAGTCAAAAGAGAGTAAATGCACAACTATCATATGTGGATGGGACCTCAAGATATCCAATGTGAAGAAGATTCCTCATGCTGGGACGCATTGGCTTGGATTAATGTTTGTATGTGGACAAGCATAATCAAAAGTGTTTCCTTCAGCTGATAGTTAGGTTAAGAAATTGAGTGGGAGGAAAAGAAGGGGACAGAGTTGCAGCTGTTATCACAAGATGAACAGAAAAGAAAGCAATGAAAACGTGCTTCACTGTTAACAGGAAAACAGAGGTTAGGACAGTACACTGATTGGTCATCCCCATATCAAGTTGAATGAATATTAGACTCTAACACTCATTTCAAGGCTCACACTGTGGGAATCCCAGTACCTTCATTTCCACAAGACATATTATCCACGAATGTCCCCTGAGAACATCTACATTTTCAGTCTATATAATCTCAGGACACAAGTTACATATGCCTACAAGTCACTAACGTGTTCTAAATTCACCTCCTGCAAACTGCAGAAGGAATTTCCTAGTTGAGTATTGTGAGATTTGTGAAGACGATGTTGAAATTATGATTCTATCACTGTATCTTCTCCTTCACTTTCTTGACAGTAGAACCGTTCTTCCCCCGCCTCAGTCCATCTTAATGACCCCATACAGCTCCATTTTGCCTCTCTTAAAGAGGAGCACCATGTTTAAAATAAGGTGTGACCTTTTGGAATAGTAGTAGAACAAATTAGGACCAATATCTAAGTTTTAGTTCTTTTAATGTGGTTTCTTAATTGGAAGATAAATCATATATCAAATCAAGGGATGATCTAGACTCTTTAATTATAAGAAACATGATTTTCTCTTCAAAATAAATGGACCTGGGACTATGAAATAATTTTTGTGCTAAGTACATGTTGATCTATATTTAACTAAAACATTTTCTCTAATATGAACAGTTCAAGTAAATGCTAAAATTCCACTTCTATGAAAGGTGAAAGTTTACATATAATTCTAAATTCTATAAGTTCATCCTATACTTTAAATAGAAGATGAGACAGTAGATTACCTTGATATTTCAACTAGCAAGAGACCAGGTAAGTTGAGGAGTGTAAAGAAGTCTGAGTTTTAAGACTTACTACTATATTTAGTGAAAACATAGTTGACACTTTCAGATCTAACTTATATCCTCTTTCCACTATTCTATATCAACCCTAGTAGCTAACCAAAAAACAAAACAAAAACAAAAAACATAAGTAAAAGCTCTGTCTCTGCCACCTAGTGGAGAAAGAAGATACAAGAACACACATTACAGCTAGAACAACTCCAGACGTGTAGGCATACGGAATTCACTTAAAATTATGTTCAGTGCTAGCATGTAGAATAAGTTATTTCTTTTTCCAAAGGTTTATGCTTACCTACCTGCCATGTAGAGAATGAGGTAAAGGGAGGCAGAGGATAAACACAAAAGCAAAGATAAGCCCAAAATATTTTGGAGCTCTGTAAGACAGCTCTTCACACACCTACACTTACATGGCCATGGAGATCTGTGTTAAGAAGCATCATTGCACAGGTGAGGCAATGGACTCCATCTAACAAAAGAGACAAGGACAGAAAGCATTAATTCACTATTTCCTATTGGACTCCTCAGTATCATTAAAATAGCATACCTATGCTTAATTAAGAACCTATGAAAACGCAATACTGTGGCTAGGCAAAATTAATCATATTCATTTGGGGAAACACAAAATAGATAAAGAAAAAGTTATTAAAATGATCTCAATGCACAGATTTGGACTCTACTGGTGATGAAGTAAATTATTCCTACCTCTGGAGGACAATTCGATAGTATATATCTAAAACTTTGAAACAGTGTCCTTTGACACAGCAAACCTACTTCTAGGGCTTTATACTAATGAAATAAGGAGCTACCCCAAACACAAGGATACCTAAAGAAAGACTGCTTACAATGGGGAATGAGTAAATATAACCCACCTAAAACACAATTCTGTTATGTTGAAGTCATTAAAAATGTGGTCCAAGTATACATGTTGAAATGGAAAGATATTTTACAATAAAGTATTACATGAAAAACACACTATATGCAGTATGATTCTATTTAAATATAATACATCTAGAATGATATATAATGTAATATTAAGAGATTATTATCTCTTGATAGTAAAATTATAATTGTTATCTTTTTTATTTAAAGTTTCTCAATTTTCTATAAGATATACAAATGAAAATAAATTATTTAATACTGTTACTTTTTTATTTTCTGGGAAGAAAGTGAATTAGGAAAGAAGCAAAAGTTAAAGAAAACCAAGATTTGCATCTTCCAATGTTTACTCTTTGGGTATTAGTTCTCTGGCTAAAAATATATAGACAGAAATAGTTATCCTTTTTCTTGCCATGCTTTAAAGGCAACATTTAGGTTGACTGGTCCAGGATGCTATGGATCAGACAAAAGTGAAATACTGAAATAATCACTGAAGATTTAAAATTAATATTTAGGGGAAAAACGTTACCCAAACCAGCAAGGTCATTTCACACTTATATGGAAACATCACTTTCTCTTCTTACTTTACAAAGGAAAAGAAAAAGCACTAAGAGTTAAGCTTCTTACTTCCAAACCTTAGGATTAGTTCTCCTTATTCTCTCCCTGCAATTCTCAATCCAAGTAAAGTAGACAATAGCAGTTGCAGATGCAGAAAAATCTTATTAATTTATACTAAATGTACAAAAAAGCTTGTCCCACTACTGAATTCATGAATTAAAGATAGCTTATCTTCCAAACTATGCCTCTGAGTAGGTGATTTCTCTAAGTGGACTATCTCTAAGTAGATGCTACTAAATGCTTAAAAGTGTATGTATTCCAGTATTCTAAATACATATAAAACAAATTCTTGAATGTATTTCTAAACCTCAGCAGCTAACTCTCAAATATCCTTATCAACAGCCAATTGAGTACACAAATCCGTAGTCCTTGTTTCACTTAGTAATGTCAGTGTCTTCTTAGATTTGAAGAAGGTTCTAATAAAAACAATCCACTTCTATACCTTTCATTCTCCAGTCAAGGCCGACAGTGATACAGACAGTGAATAAATGGTCTACATATAGTCAAAGGAATAAAGACAGTTCCTATTTTACGGATAGGAATGTGACTTTAACAATCAGTTAATTTAGCTACAGCCTTCAGGGCAGAGGCAGCAGGAGCAATCACTTTAGTCAATATAAAGTACACTGACACAATGTTAATTGGCAATACGGAAGCTAAGAGATAATTATAATTTCTAGTGCATCTAGTCTCAGTGATTTATTCCAGAACTTGTAAGTTTATGAAAGATACTCCAATTGTAAGTGAAAATGCTTGACTTCAAACCCTGAAAACTTTGCTTTATTATAAGAATTGAAACGGAGAAATGACCTATCTTCATAAGGTATATCAAAAATTAAATAGTTTAAAGTTGCTTTTTAAAATAGTAAATACAAATATAGACCATTAAAATCATAAACCAGAGTCAGTGGTCAGTGCTGTAATAATGAATGTCCAAAAAAAGCACCAGAGACACACCACAAACTCCAGTGAGATTTGCAAATGTTTCCAAAACTAACCATAAAACTATACATGCCCTTCATCAAGAAGCTTAGAGATCAGGTGTATAGGAAGGAGAAAGAAAAAAACTAGCATTTCACTTATTACAATGTACACTGACATAAAATCTCAGTGACAAACCATGAGCAATTTAAAGAAAGTATACTGTCATACTATGGAACTGGAAAATGGAGTAAAAGTAACTAAAACAAGAGTAAAGAATATCATGCAGTCATTAAACATCATGGCTTTTAAAGAATATTTGATAACATGAGAAAATGCTCACAATGAAAGGGAAAGACAGTAGGAAACAAAACTCTGTAATGATTCCAATTTGACATAAAATATTGTACAAATAGACTAGAAGGAAGTAAATCAAACTGTTAGTAACAGTTATCTCTAGGTAATTAGAGATAACTAGGTGATTTTCATTTTCTTCTGCATAAGTTTCCATATTTTCCATAATAAAATGTAACTTTCACACATTGAGGAAAATAGCCCTTGTTATAAGAAAGAAATTCAAGCATTTCCATCAGATTACCTTGTGAAGCAATGGTATCAGGGTTACAATAAAAATATCTATTGGAGAAGTGTACTAAAACTCTCTCTCGTTCTTGGGTTTCTCCCACAAGAGAAAATGCTTTAAAGAAATACCTAAAAAAGAATTAAGGGGGAAAAGGTGAATTTTTAGAAAATGTTACCATACTCTCTATGTTTGATAGTTAAAAGTTAATTCATTTAAACATAAGAAATTAACAATACAAAGTAAGATATTCTATATTTTTAAAAAATCACTTACTAGATGGCCATTCAATATAAATTTATATTGATGTTTATATTATAGGAACTGTCAATATAAAAGATGACAGAGCAATAACATGGTGGCCAATACATCAAAAAAAGCCTTGGGAAGGTGGATGATTTCCACATATGTTAAGTGTCAAGTAGCCATTTTAAAAGATCAGTCAGATAAAAACTAAAGAACACAAGTCTGGATGCATAACCATGTAGGCTATGTTTTAAACTTTTTTTTTTTTTTTAATTTTTTGGCCATGCCACGCGGCATGTGGATCTTAGTTCCCCAACCAGGGATCAAACCCACGCCCCCTGCACTGGCAGTGCGGAGTCTTAACCACTGAACCGCCAGGGAAGTCCCCTGTAGACTATGTTTTAAAGCTTGACAAAGATCACAGGTTTTTGTCATTTTGTTACTTGACTGTAATCACCACCGACCCACTATTAAAATTACAATTATATTGTCTTATGCACAGTAGATTTCTTTTTTATTATTATTCAAACAGAAAGCTGCAAAAATTATAATGATCCTCATCAGTTCACTCAGTCCCATGTTATTTTTTTTTTCATCTTGAACTTTTGTTAGCACTTTTAGGAATTCATCAGTTTTCCATTAGCACAGTAGATTTCTGTTAATTTTATTTTGCCTATTATCACCACCATATATTATTAACTTGCTACATGAGGAAGAAATTGGAAAATAAAACCCTAATTTATTTCTTAAATTAGGAATACCAATCTAGATCAGAGTCACTGAGAGTACTGTCTATTATACATGTATCCAGGACCCTCACTTGACAAAGTAGATGCATTTACCTAAACATGAGATGGGAAGGAAAAAATCATTTAAAATGCCCTAAGAAATCTTACTTTTGAAAGAAACATACAATAAAACATATTTCAATGATGAAAGTGTTGCTGTCTTCCTTATCTGTAGTTAATCTAAATTATGTTGATCTAACTTTAATTTTTCTTAACTTTTTTTTATAAACCATATGAGAGAGTAAAGCAAAAATACAGATCCCTCCCCCACCCTTACCTGTTTTCATTGACAAACCTATGAGTACCCTTGATTCACGCAAAGAGCCAGAGACTAACTCACTGCTGTGCATTCTAACGGAACATCCTCCCTTCACCTCCCAGGCCTCAGTTTCCTGATTTGTAACACTAGAGCATTACACAAGATGATCTCAGAATTCCTCCAGGCTGTGACACGTTATAAAGTTTATAAGATTAAATGCTTACTGGGTTTTACCTTCAGCTGCACTTAGAAATTTATACTATGGTATCGTGTGAGACATGAGGGTCAGTGTGTTTCCAACACCTTCACTTGAACAGATCAGCAAAAAGTGCTACTGTCTGAAACAGTTTTACAGATACTTTCTGCTGATTATTATGTTGATATTCATTTTTATCCCATTCATTAGTTAATTCCAAAGTACTGTCTTAAAGGGCTATTTGGCTATTGTAAAAAATGATTAGGGAAAATCTAATTCTACAGTCTGTAAACTGTGCCTTTTTAAGGCATTCAAAAACCAGATTCCCACAGATTCCATTTCTCCAAGACTTACTTTGCCACCATTCTTAACTAGGTCGTCTATTTGGTGCAGGATATGAATTCATGTGTGATTTCATAAAAACAATATATTTTTCCCACTTTCCACCATGTTTAATATCTGTAATACAATCTGAGCTAAGATCACAAAGTAACTGTGGGTTTAAAAAAATAAAAATCAGATTTTAGCTTCAGCACATTATTTTCTCTTCTCAGAATTAATTATTTAGAAGCAAAGAAGAACAGAAGTGATGTTTAATCATACCTGAGAGACTGATCCAGTGTCATTCCTGTAAAATCAAAAAACTTCAAATATTCTTCCGCAACTAGTTTGCTAAATTCATTGCTATAAGAAAACAGAATAGACTTGGTTATTAAAATTGAAGCCATCAGAACACACACATACCCCTACAAGGATACACTCTGACGCCATCCTTGGAATGGGACATACTTCTTGCCTAGGTGCTTTGCCACATCCGATCTTTTGAATCTGTCTAGTTGATAAAGACGTTTGGCCAACCTTTTGGCTGCTTCTACGTTGCTGCTGGTACCATTACTGAGACTTCCTGAGGTTTCCTTTTCCAGAATTTCAGTACTCCCCATTTCAGAATGAGCCTCTAGCAGTGTTGTTTTCATCCCAGCATTGCTGTGAGAATTGATAAAGAAGGAAACAAAAGAACAGAAAAGATTGTTCTTGTGTGGCAAAAAGGAAAGTAGCTAATGAAATTATCACAATATTGTAGAACAAATGAAAAAACTATTTTAAATGATAGCATCTTATGCTTAATTATTCATAAAAATATTTTCAGTTGCTATATTTTAACATACTAGAGAAGTGATTACTTAAACCCTAGATGAGCAGTTCTCAAACCTTTTGGTCTCAGGACGTTTATATTCTTGAAAGTATAGAGAACTCCAAAGACCTCTATGTATGTAGGTTATATCTAGTGATATTCACTGCATGAGTAATTAAAACAGAAAAATTTAAATATTCATTTAAAAATAATAAATCCATTTCATGAATATAAATAATACATTTTTATTAAAAAGAACTATATTTTCCAAAACAATAACATAATATTTAATGAGACAAGCAACAGTGATTTACATCTTTTACAAATTTCTTTAATGCCTGGCACACTAGAAGACAGCTGGATTCTCACAGCCATTTCTACATTCACTCAGTAATAATACATCATTTTGGTTGAAAGCATTAAGAAAATCTGGCCTCACAGAAATATTTAGTTAGAAAAATAGGGAGCATTTTAATATCCTTAATTGTGGATATTCTTTTTTCATATGATGATGCCAAAATAAAACAAGTGGTAGTCTCTTAAAAGTTAGCTGCAATATAGAATCTAAACTTGTATCAATGAACTTTTTGTACTCATATTAAAAACGTCTCACATGGGCTTCCCTGGTGGCACAGCGGTTGAGAGTCTGCCTGCCAATGCAGGGGACACGGGTTCGAGCCCTGGTCTGGGAGGATCCCACATGCTGCAGAGCAACTGGGCCCGTGAGCCACAACTACTGAGCCTGCACATCTGGAGCTTGTGCTCCACAACAAGAGAGGCCGCGACAGTGAGAGGCCCGCGCACCGCGATGAAGAGTGGCCCCCACTCGCCGCAACTAGAGAGAGCCTGCGTGCAGCAATGAAGACCCACCACAGCCAAAAATAAATAAATAAATTAATTAATTAATTAAAAAAAAAAAAAGTCTCACACTTTGAATGCATCTTACCCAGGCATGATTCTGCCACATGAACTGGTCACTTGCAAAATATCTGTTGACACATTTTATTGTTTTAAAAAATAACATTTATTAATGTCACCACTAATATCCTCAGAAAAGTCTTTAAGTACTGGGAAGCTGCCAAACTTTTGGTGGTAGATACAAGTTTTCCAAAATTCTAATTTTGATTGAAACTTAAGTATTACCATTGGCAACAAAAATTGATGGTTGTTTTCCTTAAAGTAATTAAGTAACTCTATTTTCAAGAAAATGTTTGCCAAAACCACAGTTTGTCAGACTTTGAAGGAAAATGGCATTTCCATGAAAAAAGCAACTAGTTTATAGCTCACAACTCAAACTACATGAGTGCTGTTCCTAGACAGCGCTTCATGCATATTTTCCATTTCATTGCATGTGAAATTAAAAAGGCAGGTACCCAAGTGTTGAAAAGCAATTAATTGGTACTGCTTTATCAAGGACATCTTTAGGTGAAACTGCCCTTTATTTTTATTTTGAATGCATGGCAATGAAGAATGTAACAACTAGAACAGTTTGGTGCTACTACCTTGATTTGTGCTAAGGCCCCCACCATTGCTTTTGTACCATCAGTGTGTATCAACACAGTGAAAAAGGAAAACAATGCTGCACTGTTATTAAAAAAATAATTTTGACTTCACAAACCCATTGAAAGGGTCTCAGGAAGCCGCACAACCACACTGTGAGAACCTCTGCTCTAGCCAGGTGCTGCAGCATGCATCTGTAACACTAAAACCAATAACACTGTGATTTCCAGACCTTCCTTTGGACTTCTAACAGAACAAAGCTATGTTCATGGTAAACTACTTGTGCTTAAGTAGTCTTCCAACACACTTACTGTAGACTGTAAAGCAGACATAGAATTTTTCTGCAATGAACCAGAGAGTAAATATTTCAGACTTGCAGGCCACATAAGGACCCTGGTCACACATGCTTCTTTGTTTTTGTTGTTTTTTCACAACCTTTAAAAATGTAAAAGCCATTCCAGGCTACACTGAATCCTAGTCTGCAGGCCCTTGCCCTATCCCATAGCTCTTTAACTTGGCCTGAATTGTAAGTAGAGAACAATTTATTGTCTAAACGAGGACACTCTGAAAAGGAAACAGGGATGATAAAATCATTAAATATGTAGTTATAATTGTTACAAGGTAAAAAAAAAAAAAAAGCATTACCAATAAAAAAAATAGTTGTAAACTTATAAAAATCATTACAGCAAAGTGAAGACATTTTTAAACAGAACTGCTTAATCTCTATTTTGTCACTTGTTCTACCTAACTTACAATTTCCCATTTCCCACTGATCCACCAACTAAGTGGTAGCCTGGCAGCTTCACTATCACTCAGTGCAGCTGGGCTACTGCACAGCCAGCTGGTGCACCAAGGAGCGCCTGGGGGCTGCAGAGTCCCCGGAGTCCCCAACCACTGCCAGACTCTAGCAGCCCCTCTCCAAGCTCACTTATCAGCAAGCACTGCACAAGCTATCTCTGAAAGGAGCTTTAAGGGGAGGGAAAAGGGAGAGAGAGTATCCCACATAGTCTTTTAGACTCAACTATGTGAAATTTCTGTTCAATGCACATGTCAACTCACGCATTCCAGATGAGACTGTGGAGAAGCGGGAAGTACAAAGTGGAGGGTTACAAACCCATGCTGACTTATTCTACTGCAACTATTAATGATAATACTTCATTTTTTTAAAGTCAAAGTCAAATGCTAAACCATAGTCAACACCAAGACAACAGACACAAACCGGAACTGACGCAGGCAAACCAAGATGTTTGGTAACCCTCCCTAAGCAATCAGCCACCTTAAACAATTTTCCAAAAGAAATACCCACCAATTAAAATAAATTGCTTCATTATGATGAATTCTTCACGTAAATACATTTAAATTTTTTTCATCTTAAACTTTACTTTATAAAGTTCACATTACCAGCCAGTTTTGTGAAATTTACGCTATCAGAAAACTGAATATTTAATTTTTATATACAGCAAACCTGTAAGTAAATTCATAGAGGACACTTCTTTTAAAGGTCAGCTCACACTTTTGTGTTTTCCTAAATAAGTGGTGAAAATGTAAAATATTTACTCTAAGAACTAGTTGAGTTACAGTCAAGTAGTTTTTATAATTATGAAAAGAAAATCCCTGGAGTTGTGCTCCCGCGCATTCTCTTACTCCGCATATTAGCTATTGTGTAGAAAAAACAATGTCAAAGAAAGGATTTTCTTCTCAATTAAACTGCTACTTAGCATTGTTCACTTCTCAGGGCAAATTCACGGCATGTATTTAATCACTCCATAAAAAAAAGTAATTGTACCACATACATAGTACTGCAAAGATGTTGTTCAAATACAACAGACTTACCCTAACGACACTGTATTTTTTAAATGCGGTATTGATTCCTATTCCTTATGTTTCTCATTCCGCATGTTTGCTGCCTCTTTCTCCTATCCTGCCCAGTCTATTTCACCTCATTTTCCTCACATTCACCAGAAGGAGGTAATTTAAAAATGTGTATGGATCAGACTTCTCTGGATCGTCTTGAGAAAACCTTCAGTAAAAAGGAAAATAAGGAATAAAATGAAGATAAATACTTCCATTCCTAGATGGCTTCATTCTGCCCCATTCACAATTTATGAAAGAACATGAACAAGAACAGAGATTGCCCCTTTTAAGTCAGAAAGCCTGGCGGTATGATGGCAATACCAACTCACCAGCAGTACGACAGACACCAAGAACCCATATCTTGGAGCAAAGGGTGCGCCTGGGCCATGCTTCCTCTCACAAGCCCCTTCCCAGGACTCTTCATCCCCCATCTCCACTGTCTGCTGGTCCACTAGGGCTTCCAAGGACCTGGCTCCCTGTGAGGTCATTTGACTATGACCTCACACTCTCGCAAGTGTTTACTCTTGGGGTTTCTGTATGTTTTTACAGTACTAATAAAAACAGAAGCCAGAACACAGGGTCCACTGTATACCAAGAGCATACACAACAATGGCAGCCCTGCCTTGTTCACACTTGATAAAGCAAACTGGATGACCCCTCTCAGCAGGAGGGACACCCCCGTTTTGTTTCCTGGAATACACAAGACATTGTCCATCTAGTCTGCTGAGTGTTAGATGCTTCCAATAGTTTGAATTTTCCCTTCTTTTCTACAGTTCCGCTTTTCTTCTTGATCAAGTAACTTAAATCTCCTAAGGTGAAATCCTTACCAGTCACTTAAATATAGAAGAGACTTCCCAAAAGCTTCTCCCTGTGATATATATAAATGCTTCACTAAGGCCTATACCTCACACCTCCAAACATATGTGGTTACACTCTATCATCAATATCATCAAAAGAAGGATCAGATCACTGAGTCTGACCACCAAGTCTTTTCATAACCTTTTTATCATACTGATTACTGCGTTTTCCAAAAAAAATTAATAGGATACCCAGTTAAATCAGAATTTCAAATAAACAAAAAACAGTTTTTAGTGAAAGTATGTCTCAAAAATTGCATGGGGCATACTGACACTAAAAAAATTATTCACTATTTATCTAAAATTCAAATTTAACTGGGCATCCTGACTTTATCTGGTAACCCTATCTCCCGAATGCTTGTTCTCGATCAGACTCCTTCTGGGTTTGTTTCAACTTGCTTCTGTGATTTAATTTTTATTCCTACTATTTTTCTATTGTCTTATCAAGATCTTCTCTCAATTGACTACGATCTGCTGACTCTTCCCTAATGTCCTTCAAATACAAAAGGAAAACCCTCTTTTCTCTGTATTTTCACCCTTCCTTCCCAGCCTGCATACTGCCACCATGGATGTGATAAAACGTCTCCTTCACAAATATCCTACACAAGGTAAAAGCCCATGCTCTGCCGCATGTCGTTAAG